TGTTTGGAGGACCGCGCGCAACAAAAACACCCCAGACACACACCTCAGACACACACACACACACACACACACACACTGGCACGCACTCCGCACGCACCCCAGACACACGCCAGACACACGCCACACACACAACACAAACACACACGGACACTTGCCACACACACACGCCAGACACACGCCAGACGGATGCCAGACACACGCCAAGCACACGCCAGACACACGCCAAACAGATGGCAGACACACGCCAGGCACACCTCAGACTCAACCCAAGCACACCAAGACGCACCACGACGCACCGCAAACGTGCAAGACACACCCAAGCACACCTTGACACACGCCAGACTCACGCCAAACACACGTCCGACACACCCAAACACACGCTGGCATCGCGGCGACGAAGATGACGAGGACTCTGACGACTCCGACTGCAACGACTCGATCTCGAACTCCGACGACTCCGTCTCCGACGCCGACTCCGACGCCGACTCCGACGACTCCGACTCCAAAAGCGGCCAGGAAAGAAATGATGCAGCTTCCTCCCTCGCGTTCCCCTCTTCCTTCGTCCGCCTTTCAACCTTCTGTCCTCTTGCTCTCTTACTGCCTCCCTCCTACTGAATCTCGCTATCTCCTTCTCAGCTCGTCTTCCATCCACCCCTCGTCCACCCTCAACTCTCCATCCCACCTTCTTCTCCACCCTTTGTCCAATCTCCACCCCCCTGACCTCTTACCTCCCTGAACCGCCTCTGCCTTCCTCCTCCCGCCACCTAGTGGATCCTCTTCCTCACAATAGTGGAGGCTATACGGGAGAAGGCCCCTGGCGGACTTACGTCGTGCGCAAACTTCACCACCAGCGGTTTATCACGATAGGAGGGCCCCACGCGAAGGGATGATCTGCACACAGAGCATGCCTACCCTGTCACACGAGGGTTTAAGTGCGGTCAAGAGGCATGAACATCATATCCGCGCCCTCGCGGTTCGCACTGCGGTTTGCACTATAGGCGCGATCCCGTGGATACGCGGTCGCGCAAATACGCTCCGCGCGGGGCGCCCTTGAAAGAGCGACCCGTGATTAATGCCCATGCGGTCGCGGCCCAGGGGCCGAGTCCGTTGGTTGTTAAGGCCTCAGGTTGCGAACAGGCAACCCCACAAGCAAAGGCCTCTTGGATGGGGTCCGGATAGATGGAGTCGGAGGATCGCGCCGCATCGGCGATGCACCGTCGACGTCGGCGATGTATCGGCGACGTCGACGTGAAGACAATCGGGCTCCACATCGAGCCGCATCGGCGATGCATCGGCGACGCGGCGCGATCCTCCGACGCCATCTACTCGGGCCCCATCTAGGAGGCCTAGAGTTGTGGATGCCACGATAATGGACACCCTGATAATCCTACTATTGAATAAAAAACTGTGCTTAACATGTCGGGAACATCATCAAAACTTGTTTTAAACATGTTTTTACATGTTCAAAACATGTTTTACACATGTTTTAGACATCTGGAAATCAATTGTCAGCATGCTCCCATTGATCGACCTCCACAAGCCTAGAGCTGGCCTCAACAGGCCCCCCGAATAGTCCCGGCGTGCCTCGACACCCCCCCAGTAGCCCAGGACGGTCCCGACACCCCGACCCTAGACCATAGGGCGCGGAGGGCCCCATGGGGCACCGCCGGAGGCGGCGCCGGGGCGCTGAGACCGCGGTGGACAGAATCTTCCCGCGGCAGCTGTCAAGCTTGATCGAACTGTATTAGAAACCGTCTCTTTTGGAATCGGCGATAACCAGGGTTATCCCGGGTAGGGGGGGGGGGGGGCGGGGGTCGGCCGATAACGTAACCTTCGCGCTGTGCTGTGGGCAGCCCTGCATGTGCCCGCGCCCCCCTCCCGCAGACATGCACAACCGGCAAGGTTAGGTTATCCTGGGGGGGGAGGGGGGGCAAGCCCGATAACCCGGGATATCGCCCGACCCTAAAAAAACAGTCTCTTATGATGCTCCGATCTACCTACTTTGGCCTTGATCACCGGGAAGACTTTCGGGCACCCAGGAAGTACCGAAACTGAAGGTTGTCACGTGTCGGGCCCTGGGAGACGATACTCGTTCGACACCGTTTCGATTCAGTTCGGGGTGCTCGATGTGGTACGATGGGAGCAACAGAAGGTCTGTGATGGTCCTGGGGGGCCTACACAAAGCAGAATTGCCCGCTGCGAACAAAAAAGTGCGACGCCAGGGTATCGGGATATGGGTAATTACACGTCGGTCGGAAAAGAAATAATAATTATCCGGGCGGAGGACCCAACCATACGTATGCGTGAGTACCGCAGTTATGTGCCGCGCCTTCGGTGGAGCTCCTACTGGAGCCACGAAACGTATCAGGGTGCCGACATGGGTGCGGTGGCGCCATGCGAACCCCGCCACTGCGGCCTTCGGTGAAACTACCCGTAGAGCCACTAAACGTGTGATGGGCGTGCCGGCATGGGTGCGGTGGCGCCTTGCGAACCCTGCCACTGTGTCCTTCGGTGGAGCTCCCTATGGGGCCTCGAAACGTGTGCGGGGTGTGCCGAATTGGGCGCGGTGGCGCCATGCGAACCCTACCACTGTGGCCTCCGGTGGAGCTCCCTATGGGGCCAGGAAGCGTGTAAGGGTTGTGACGAAATCGGCGCGGTGGCGCCATGCGAACCCTGCAACTTGGGCCTTCGGTGGAGCTCCCTCTGGGACCACGAAACGTATGAGGGGCGCGGCGAAACAGAGACATGCGAAGAGCAGAGGCGATGAGGGGGGGAGGGAGAAGGGGGAGGAGGAGAGAAGAGGAGAGGAGACGAGAGGAGAGGAGCAGGAACGCTGGGCGCTGTCTCTTCAAAACGAGGACCCAACACGACAGGGTGGTAGCGAAAAGCACGAAGTAGGAAGGCGGACAGATCAGATTGGGGCCAGGCCCTCCCAGGGAGCAGCAGAACACAGCAGTGGAATGGGGATTCTTGAAGCAGGCAGGGGGCCCCGACATACGTACTTTCCACGACCGACGGAGATGCGCGCGGGCCTACACTGAGGTCGGGCATGTCCTCCTACAGGCGGAGTTTAGAAGAAACCATAATCGTACACAAGGCATTTTCAAACATAGCCAAAAGAGTACGAACAGTCGTCACCTGACTGTGTTGGAGCTATTATTGCATTTTCCTCCTGTCCAGAGTTAGGTCGGGCATGTCCTCACACAGGTGGATGTTCGAAGCGAGACGAAACCAGTCAAAACAAATATCCAAACATATTCAGGAGAGAGAGAGAGAGAGAATGCAAACATCACCGCCAGACTACTTTGGAAGTTCTTGAGTACAGTCGACCCGTATCATAAGGATGCATGCTAAGGGTGCAGGATAAGGATGCATGGGCCTTGGAAGGAGCGGGGAGCGGCCAACGAAAAGGATGGGCCGAGGAGGCAAGGATGCGAGGGCACCCTTGGGAAGGTTGCACTCCTTACCATGCGCGTTGACTGTATGGCCGATCTCGAAAACTCTGGACCCACACATGTTGTCATCTCTTGGGGGCGCACCGTTTATTTCCGCCAGATTTCCGCCAGCTGTTCGCGCCGGCTTCCGCCATCCGTCCGCCGAAGAAGAGATGACAACCACTTCGATCCTCGAACGCAAGGCCTTCTTTGAAACGCCCATACGCTTTCCGCCCGCAAAGCGGTCCGAACTCGAAGCTTCCAGGAGGCCCCGAAGCCCGCGCCGAGCTGAACCCCCGAAACGCGCGCGCAACAGCAAAAAAAACGCGCGTGCCTTCACGGGCTCGCTGCGCTGGCGTGCGAAGACCCCGGGGGGCATGGCGGGCACACTCAGCGTGCGGTCCTCGCGGGGAGACACAAGAGGAGGAGGAGGAGGAGGAGGAGGAGGAGGAGGAGGAGGAGGAGGAGGACGAGGAGGAGGGGGAGGAGGAGGAGGAGGAGGAGGAGGAGGAGGAGGAGGAGGAGGAGGAGGAGGAGGAGGAGGAGTAGGAGGAGGAGGAGGAAAAAGAGAAGAAAGAACATGAGGAGGTGGACGCCCCCCTTCCACCGCGTATCGTTGCTAGAAAGATCACGACTGGAGTTCTTTGATAACTTTTCGGCCTCTGGGGGCACTCACTGGGCACATCAATACGTCTGAGTTCTCGGTCTACGGAGGAGGCGGATAAAAAGGAAGAGATGAGAAGGAGGAGGGGGATGAGGAGGAGAATGAGGAGACGATGGGGGGGAAAGGGGAAGGAGAAGAATTATCATAATCATAATTCAAAAGGCGGGGCACCACCGAACCAAACATGAACAAAACACAGACTCCGGCCAAAACCGCACCAACCAATGCCACCTCTCGCTGATAAAATCTGAACTGTGGAGGGTGATCCGTGAAAGCCTGCACCCTCCTGGGCGCCCCCTCGGTGGCCAGGGAGGAACAGGATGAAAAGGAGGAGGGGGATCAGCGTAGACCAAATATGCATCAACGATGCTGCGATACACCCTCCCGTCCCACGTCCCCTCTCCTCCTCCTCCTCCTCCTCCTCCTCCTTCTCCTCCTCCTCCTCATACCCCTCCTCCTCCTCCTCCTCCCCCTCCTAATCCTCTTCCTCCCCTCCCCCCTCTCCTCCTCCTCCTCCTCCTCCTCCTCCTCCTCCTCCTCCTCCCCCCCCTCCTCCTCCTCCTCCTCCTCCTCCTCTCCTCCTCCTCCTCCTCCTCCTCCTCCTCCTCCTTCGTGCCCACACGCACTCTTCTGGTGCGGGGAGCGCCCCGCACCGCGGACGAACACACCAAGTGGGCCTGCGGCCTGCCAGTCAAGCGAGACCCCGCGCTGTGTGACAACCATACAACATGTTGTTGCCAGCCGCCCTGTGTTGAATTGAACTGCGAAGCGGGTATTTTTCCATCTCCACGGCCTGGGAACCGGCGCCCTGGTGCCCCAGCGGGCAATGGATATGGATATATTTTGGCCCCCGGGCGCCGGAATATGTCCATATCCACCGCCTGCCGAGGTCCCCGAAAATTGATCCTCCAGGCTGTGGTCATGTATACATTCCCGCCTCGGATGAACCCTCGCTCTACACTGCTCCCAGCGTATTTAAGGACCACATCCCCAAAGTAAGAGATGGCCGCGGAGCCTCCAAGCCTCCCTCTCTGCTCCCCAATTGGTGCTTGCACTGAAGGGGTCCTGGCGGAAGTTGAAGGATTTGGCGAAATTTCCCCGCCGATTTTGGTGGCAGGCTGGGTTCCCGGGTTCCCGGGTTCCCGGTTACGAAATCCCGGGTTGCCGGTTCCGGGTTCCGGGCCGCTTTCGGAGGGCGGCGTCTCTTCCTCTCTCTCTCTCTCTCTCTCTCTCTCTCCCCGTCAACTCTCATGGGCATCGTTTCTGGCTGGGCTGGTGGGGATAACTTTTCCGTCGCAAGCGCAAGCGAAGGCGCAAGCGGCGTCAGAGGTCAACCCGGGCTACGGGCGAGGCCGAATTGCCCAGCGAACGCACCCACGGCTGCCGAGGATGCCGCCGAGGGAGGCTGAGGGGCGCCGGGGGCTGAAAGCAGGCTGCGAAAGCTGCCAGGAACGCCAGGCGGCCAGCGTGCGGGCATCCCAGGGGCAAGACCACCGGGAAGAGGGTTAACTGAACCTTGTCGCACCAGGCGCCAGAGGTAGACGCGCCACCAAGCGTGGCGAAGCGCGGGTTTGCACAAACAGTCCAACGTGCTAGGCTACAGGCCAACAAGGACGAACTCACATGGCTGACCAGGAAGGCTGAACCACTCCTGAGCAATCCAATAGGGCTGCGTCACACCATGCCGGCGGCAACGGCAGACACGGCCAGGCTGTGGCGGTGTCTGGAAACCAGAAGCCAGAGAAGCGTCAGCACTCTAGCCAGAGCTGGGCAACTCTCACGTCACCCGAACGCCAGAGTGCCTCACCAGGCTCCACGGGGCCTGGCTGAATACCACCAGGCGCGAGGGACAGATGAGCGGCGCCGCATGCAGCTGAAGGCTGAGGTGACCTCAGGTCGGGAGCCCGCGGCGAGGCGCGTGAGCCACAGGACAGCACGACGGGGAGGCAAGTGCACCAGGGACACCGAGCCAAGCTGTGGCTAGGTCCGAGCGAGGACCTGCAGTCAACGGCCGAGGCCTGGAGGCACGCCGCGCCCCGTCCCAGCAGGGGCTAGCGTGCCCGGTATTGACAAGGCCGTGGAGCCTGTCCCCCAAGTGCGGGGGGGGCAAGCCAGGCGCAGTGTCGGGACCATCACCGATCGTCACGAGGCCCGCAGCCGAGGGGCTGGGACGAGCTGCGGCCAGGCGCGGGGAAGTCCAGGGTGAACACAGCTACAGCAAACGGTACGGCCGTGTGACGGCACGCTGCGCCTCGCCCCAGCAAGGGCATCGTGCCAGGTATACAGCGCAAGGAGCCTGATCCTCAAGGGCGGGGGGCGGGCCGGACGCTGTGCTGTGACCGAAACCGGCGTAAACCGGTCGTGAGGGGCGGAGAGGCTGGGGCACCTTGCATACTGCTGACGCAAACGGCCGCACGTACCAAAACAACTCCTGAGTCCCCCATTTTGTGAAGCCGGTCTCCAAACTCCAAACGCGGGCGCGTCCTCTGCAGCTTTCACAACTGTCGCCACGAGACTTTCACCAGCGCTTTCGGGCGCATCTTGGGCCTCCACGAAGACACTGTGCCTCGGACGCTGTAGGGAGTGAGGAGCTAGAAGAGTGCCTGGCTGCCGCGCGGGCGGCCGCGTCTGCCGCGCCAGCAGCGCCGTCGCGTTGGCTGCGCTGGGGAGGCACCGCCAGGGAAGTAAGTGGCTAACGGCCACACAGTCAAAGGAAAGGGAGGAGCGGGGGGAGAAGGGAGGCGCTGAACGTGAAGCTAGGACATGGGGTGCAAGGACCGCATCCCATCACTAACTGCGAACACCCAGAAAAGTATCGAAACGGTGCCGAACGAGTATCGCTTCCTAGGGCCCGACGCGCGAAAGCCCTCCAGATTCGGTACTTCCGTGGTGCTCAAAATTATTTCTGGTTTTCAAGGCTACTCTGGATCGCTTAATAATCGCCCCCCCCCCTTGGAGTGCCTGGGGGGGTTGGCCGCGGCGCGTCCGCAGGGGTGCCAGCGAGGGTCTGGGATTCGTTCCCTTCCCCGCTGGGGCGCGGGGATGGTGTCCAGGGGGGTTGGCCGCGCCGCGCTTTCACGTATGTTACCCCCCGGTTGATTAATAATAAGTTCGGCGTAACGTAGGTTGGAACACCATAACACAGTTCGATCAAGCTCGACAGCTGCCGCGGGAAGATTCTGTCCACCGCGGTCTCAACGCCCCAGCGCCGCCTCAGGCGGTGCCCCATGGTTCCCTCCGCGCCTCAAGGCCTCGCTTTGAACACGCATCGCCCCGCGTCTCCTCTCCCTGCCGCTGCCCCTCCCTCCTGCCCCCGCTCTCAGCAACACGCCCATTCCCGCACACCTGTCACACGTTCCCCGTGGCCCCGCAGGAAGGTCCACCGGAGGCCGCAGTGGCAAGGTTCGGATGTTTCCGCGGCGCCCTTTTTCGACCCCTCACACGCTTCGCGGCCCACAGAGAAGCCCACCGAACGAATCAGTTGCATAATTCACACGCGGCCATGCCGTCCATTTCAGCACCCCTCACGGTCCAGTCCGCGGTCGCGACGAGGAGGATGGAGGATGTAGGAAGGAGGGTACCAGATTTTTTATGTTAACGTGGAGACAGACAGCGGAGAGCGGAAATGGACGTAAGAGAAAACCAAACGTACGTTCTGTAACGGGCCCACGTGGACGCATCCACGCGCGGCAAAAAGCGAGATAGCGGTATACCAGACGCCCCCCCCAAAACCAATCGCCGTCCCCCAATCCTCTCCATTACCCCCTCCTCATCGTCCAACCTACCCTTTCCAAATCCTCCTCCCCTCATCCACACGTCTCCTCCCCGTCCCTCCATCCGCATGCTATCCCCCCATCCTCTGTCCACCCATCCTGCCCCCTTGCTCAACCTTGCCCATCTCCCCTCCTCCCCTCTCTCCCCACCCCCCTTGCCGAACGAAGCCCCCCGACCCCCCTCCCTCTAAGAATATCTCATGGCGGAGGGCCCAAAACCGTGAGCAGCTTCGAACATCGCGGGGCAGGCGAGAAGGCGCGGGTGGCCGGGAGAAGGACTGCGGCGTTGCCTGGGGAGCAAAGCCGTTGGGACTCGCCGTGTGCCGCCGTTTCGCGCCCACTTCCTTAGTAGCTCTTTCACTGGTGGGCCTGTTGTCCACCTGGAGTGGGGAAGGAGGAGGAGGAGGACCCCCTCCACCTCCAACTTCTGGTGCTCCTCTCCTTGTTGCTCCAACTTATGGTGCTCGACCTCCAGCTTATGGTGCTCCACCTCCACTTATGGTGCTCCTCTCTTATGGTGCTCCACCTCCACCTCCAACGTATGGTGCTCCACCTCAAAACAGACCCACCATTCACTCCTCTCTTTGTTTCCAGAGTGCGACGTTGTGATCCCTGCTCGCCTGGCCTGCGATGGCCCTGGCCCGAGCCCTGGGCCCCGCCGTTTTGCATGCGCAGTTCCTTCTCTCGTTTTTGTTCCTCCTCTCTGCCAAAGCGCCCAAATGACCGCGGCTCTGGGCACCGCGCATGGCGCAGCCCCCGCGACGGCGCGCCGGTCGCACCGAAAGAGTCCCGGCGACGCCCGCGGGTTGCCGGCAGCACGGAGCAAAAAGCACGGGTGACTGACAACCGGGCGCTGGGCCGAGGCAGCTCCTGGAAGCAGGGCGCAGAAGGCCCACGCGAGTTTGTGGGGCCTCGAAGCGAGTAAAGGGTGTGCTTTCGGTGGAGCTCTCCATAGGAACCTGAAACGTGTGAGGTGGGTGTGCCGAAATGGATATGCAGTGGGCGTGAAGCCGCATGCGAAGCCTGCCATCGGGGCCCATGGTAGAGCTCCCGATGGGGCCACGAAGCGAGTGATGGGGTAAGCCGAAATGGAGATGCGGTGGGCGGGGAGCCACACGCGAACCATGCCATCGGGGCCCTTGGTAGAGCTCCCGATGGGGCCGCGAAACGTGTGATGGGTGTGCCGAAATGGACATGCGGTGGGCGGGAAGCCACATGTGAACCCTGCCACTGGGGCCTTCGGTGGAGCTCCCTATGGGGGCACGAAACGTGTGAGGGGTGTGCCGACATGGACATGCGGTGGGCGGGGGGCCGCATGCGAACCTTGCCACTAGGGCATCCGGAGGAGCTCCCTCTGGAGCCACGAATCGTGTGAGGGGCGTGCCCACATGGACATACGGTGGGCGGGCAGCCGCATGCGAACCCTGCCTCCGGAGCCTTCGGAGGAGCTCCCTGAGGGGCCACGAACCGTGCGCGGAGTGTACCGAACTGGTAGACCGAGGCAGAAAGCAGAAGTGAGCAGGAGGAGGATGGGAAGGGCGAGGAGCGGGAGGGGGAGGACGGAGGAACGCGGGGCGCTCTATGTTCAAAACGAAAGCCAAGCACAGCAAGATGGTCAGGAAAAAACGCAGACCTGGTAGAACCACGGAGCTCTCTGGAAACCCTCCTTCCAAGCACCCGTCGGACTCCGCGCTCCAAATGCATCCCAGATCGGTCACTGCATCCGTCCTGGGGTCCATCCTGACCCTTCTGACGAGGCGGAGCCAGCCGTGACGACAACGAGTCCCCCAGAAGGCCCAGAAAGGAGAAGAAACGCCAGGGAGGGCCGCCCACCTTTTAACGGGCGAAGAACGGTATAAAATAAACTTTTTCGCCGTCGGGGACACCTGCCCCAGCGCGGCTGGAAAGTTTATAGCCTTACCGTGGCACCATAGGGGTATAAACTTTCCAGCCGCCCAGGGGCAGGTGTCCCCGACGGCGGAAAAGTTTATTTTATACCGTTCTTCGCTCGCTGATCTTTGGACCGTCGTCGCCGTCGTCTCCGCCCTCCGCCCCACCCTCGCGCCCTTCCCTGGCGGGCGGGGTGCCGGCGGGTCCCTGCCGACGCTCAGGTTGGCCAGCTCCGGCGCCTGCCCACGATCAGGCGGGCGGGAGCGGTCTCCTCCTCCTCCTCCTCCTCCTTCTCCTCCTCCTCCTCCCTCCTCCTCCTCCTCCTCCTCCTCCTCCTCCTCCTCCTCCTTGGAAGGAGGCTGGGCGAGGAGGGACGAGGAGGGACGAGGAGGGACGAGGGGAGAATCGGCGCCGCGTCCGGGGGGAAGAGAGAAGGCCTCCTCAGAGGGCGGTGGCCCTCCAACCTTTCGAGAGCTCTCCCGCGCTTTCGGGGAAGGCTTCGAACGCTTCCGAGAAGGCCCGCGGAAATCCCGAGCCTCCCGCAGAGGCCCGCCCATGCCCACTGAACCCCCCCCTCGCTCGCCGCCGAGGCGAGGCGAGAGCGCACACGCCGAGGCCGCCTGCGCCTCCCTCGTGCTCCCTGCGGCACGCGCTGCCCGTCCTCTCCCCGCGGCGCTCCTCGTCGGCTGCCCCAGTCCGCTCCACTCTTTGTGGTGGAGGGCACGGGCCAGTGGTGCCGTGTGCGCGCCGCTGCGGCTCTCAACCCCTACAGTCAGGTGGCTATGGTTCGTGGTGGAAAAGGTAAGGAGCACGCCATCTCGGCCCGATTTGGGGTCCGACGTCATGTCCTCAACCTCGTTGCCTCTGTAGCTAAAGCGGCGGAAGACGACGGACGACGATGAGAACGACGACGACGACGACGACGACGACGACGAGTGTCAGACCGACTCGGGACGACGATCGACGAACGGCGATGATCGACAACGACGAAACACGGCGACGGCCGACTAACAACGACGACGACGTCTGGGGGATTGAAATCGGGTCTGTCTGGGGCGCTGGGAAAAGTTCGGTCGGGGGTACCTTCTGATACATTCGGGAGATCATGAGCGGTTCACTCGGGTTCGTTCGGATCTACATCTGGCCTTCTGGAATTTTACGACGGCGTTGGTCTCATCGTCGTCCCACGGTCGTTGCCGTCAGTCGTCCTCGACGTTCGGTCGTCGCTTGTCGGTCGGTATGTCGGTCGGTCGGTGGTCGTTGCCGTCATCATTGTCTGACGGTCGCCGTCGGTCGACGTCGTCGTCGTTGTCGTCGATCGCTCGGTCGGCCAGTCGGTCGTCGTCGTCGATCGCTGTCGGTCGGTCGGTCGGTCGTCTGTCGCTCGGTCGCTCGGCCGCTGGGTCGCTCGGTCATTCGTTCGGTCGGTCGATCGGTCGTCGTCGCCGTCGTTGTCATTCGTCGGTCGTCGCCGTCTGTCGTTGTCCGGTCGCTCGGTCGGTCGGCAGGCCAATCGGTCGGCCCCGCAGATTTAACGTCTGTCGCATGAAAGGGCAGCTAGAGCGAGCCACGCCTCCACCACGGGCTAAACAAATCATAAACAGTAGGCGGACACACCTCGTCAAATTTCCCACTAGCAAATTAGCCAGCTGAATGTAAGAGGGAATACGGCACACGATAAGCAGAGGCAGGCTGGAGCGCATCGGCGAAAGAGAGCGTATCCATCCCCGAATAAGCCAACATCCTTCCAAAACCTGTGGGAACTTAATGTTTGTTGCTCTCTCGCCTTTTCGCTTCCGATGGCCTTCCGAGGCCTCAGGATGGCTCCAAGATGGCCCAAGAGGGCTCCAAGAGGGGCCCAAGAGGCCTCCAAGACGGCCCCAAGAGCGCTTCAAGAGGGGTCCTAGAGGGGTCCAAGAGACAAGTTGAGGCACCCTAGTAGGGCAAGGCTAATTAAGTACTCCCCCTTGTTTGACCGACCTCCTCCAAGGTGGCTCCAAGAGCGCCCCCAAGGCTCCCAGGAGCGCCCAAGGAGGGCCTCGAGAGGCGCTCAGACGGCCCCAAGAGGCGCCCAAAGGGAGAAGGAGGAGGAGGAGGAGGCCAAGAGGCTCCCCAGAGACCCCCAATACGCCTGCAGAGGATCCCCGAGGCACTCAAGACTTTCAGAGACTGCCCTCGGCACGAGAAGATGCCTTCCCAGGCGCTCCACGAGGCCTCCCCAAAAGACTTCCAGCGGCATCCGAGGAGACCCCGAGAGGCATTCAAGAGGCTTCTGGCTCTTCTGCTCGCCCTGTTCTTTAACCTCCTCCTCCTCATCCTCCTCTTCCTCTTCTGGTTCCTCTGGTTCCTAAGATGTGCGGCCAGCTTGGCCAACCACACTCACCTGCTCCCTCCTTATCCTCCTCCTTCTCGCTCTTTTCCGTGTTCTTATCTTCCTTCATCCTCCTCGCCCTCCGTTTCCTGCTTCTCCTCCTCCTCCTCCTCCTCTTCCGCCTCCTATTGCTCTTCCTGCGATTCGTCCTCCATCCTCCCCCTCTTGTGGTGCGACATCTTGCCTAACCTTTAGTCCACTGCATTCTACTCCACATCCATGATCAGGGCAACTCGTCTGGGCATCGTTTCTGGATAGGCGGCTGGGGTTACGCGAAGCGTCTTGAATTATTTAACTACGCTAATTGTAACACAACTTGCTCTGATTCTCAGAACTTGGCGACCTTCGAAGAACAAGTACTTCCTGAATTCAGGGAACCGCATGTTGCATGTAGACAGCATTTGGATTCACCAAACTGGCTTCGGGAGCTTTACCTCCCCCTCCTTGTTTTTTGGTTGGGGGGTCGTGATCGGTCAAGGCGCCCAACACGGCCCAAGATAGCCCCTAGAGGACCCACGGTAGCCCAAGATGGCGTTCAAGATGGCTCAAGATAGCCGACGATGGTTCAATATAGCTTCCGACATACCTCCAAGAGGCCTGGCGAGAGCCACACGACGGTCCCAAGTGCTTTCAGAACCCCCTCGGACCCACCCCCAGAGGCCAACATCCTGCAAACATCGAGGGACAATCGATGATGGTTGCCTTCTCCCCTTCTAAGTTCCCGATGCACTCTTCAAGCCTGTAGGTGGGCCCAAGATGGCCAACGATGGCCCAAGAGAGGCCCAAGAGGGGCTCCCCCAGACGGCCCCAAGTGCGCCCCAAGAGGTCAGAGGCGATGTTCGAGGATGGGGCGGGGTAGAACGAGAGCGAGAGAGAGAGAGAGAGGAGGGGAGGTGAGCGAGAGAGGAGGGACAAGGAGGGAGGGGGAGGAGAAAGGGCAGGAGATGGAACGAGCCTGGAAGGATGCCCCCCCCGTGCCGCCCGTTGTGGCGCCCGGGGGAGCACGCAGGGCTAGAATGCTGTGGAGTGGCCCCGCAGTCCGCATCTAGTGGCGATGGTGGTGCGGTGTGTTGGCTGGCGTTGCCTAAAAAAAGTTACAGCAATGAAATACGGATGAGGGGGCAACAATTTGTTGTTTGTCCCCCCCCACACCCAACACCAAACCCACCACCCACACACAGGCACACACAGACACACACACACACACACACGCACACGCACACGCACACGCACACGCACACACACACACACAAACAAAAAAAACACGCACACGCACACGCACACGCACACGCACACGCACACGCACACGCACACGCACACGCACACGCACACGCACACGCGCGCACACGCGCAAACACCTCCTCCTCGTCCTCTCCCTCCTCCTCCCTCCTCCTACTATCACCTCCCCAATCCCTCTACCACTCCCGAACCTCGTCCTCCTCCCTCCTCCTCCCCCCTTGCTCTACCACCTCCCCAACCCTCCCTGCTCAAGGTGCTCACGTTGTTACCACAGGGACCATTACCGAGTGGACCGCACTAAAGACAGTCCTACTAAGGGTTCCTCACTCAATGGGCCATTGCCCTGGAGTCCTTGCGAAAATACCATTTTACTGACAGACGCTTACCTGAAGCATCCTCGCGAAGGACTGCGTTCTAAAAAGGTCTTTCCTTAGGTGCCCTCGTTTCAAAAATCCGTGCGAAAGAACATGTACTAAACTTGTCTTCGCCAATGGCCACGCACAAACGGAATTCTTACACCGGGCCCCTTGCTACAAGCATCCGTACCAAATACCTCTTGCAACGGCAGCAGTGAAAGCGTTTGCATGGAGTCCATGGGGGTTTCTTTGGCTGAGCCCTGCTTGTATGCGAAAGGGAGACGGGGGGGTAGAACAAGAGAGAGAGAGAGAGAACAACTTATCCTGGCGAAAGACCCAACCATATGCAGTTGTGGGTACCGCAATTGTGAAAATCTTCTTCGGTGAAACTCCCTATTGGGCCACGAAGCGCTGCACTGGGTGGGGGGGGAACGCTGTTCTGGGTGAGTGGTGTATTAAGTAAGGTTTCTGGGACGCATGCGGACGGTCCCACTGGGGGCTTCGGTGGAGCTGCCTATGGGGCCACGAACCGCTGTACTGGGTAAGTGAAAATGCCAAATTGGGCTTCCGGGACGCTTGCGGACGGTCCCACTGGAGGCTTCGGTGGAACTCCCTATGGGGCCACGAAACGCTGTACTGGGTGGGCGAAAATGCCAAATTGGGCTTCCGGGATGCATGCGGACGGTCCCACTGGGGGCTCCGGTGGAGCTCACTAAGGGGCCACGAAACGCTGCATTGGGTGGGTAAAAATGCCACGTTGGGTTTTCGGGACGCATGCGGACGGTGGCACTGGGGCCTTCGGTGGAGATCCCCACGGGGCCGCGAAATTCTACACAGGGTTTGTGAAAATGCCACAATGGGTGTTTCGGGACGTGCGGACGGTCCCACTGGGGCATTCGGTGGAGCTCCCTGTGGGGCCACGAAACGCTGCACTGGGTGGGTGAAAATACCACATTTGGTGTGCGGGACGCATGCGGACGGTGGCACTGGGGCCTTCGGTGGAGCTCCCTGTGGGGCCACGAAACGCTGAAATGGGTGTGTGAAAATGCCAAATTGGGTGTTTCAGGACGCACTCGGACGGTCCCACTGGGGGCTCCGGTGGAGCTCCCTATGTGGCCACTAAACGCTGTACTGAGTGGGGGGACGCATGTGGAGGGTAGCACTGTGACCTTCGGTGGGTCTCCCTGTGGGGCCACGAAGCGCTGTACTGAGTGGGGGGGGACGCACGTGGACGGTGGCAGTGGGGCCTTCGGTGGAGCTCCCTATGGGACCA